TCAACATATTTCAACCTTTCTCTTCAAATGTTATTATTTTTAAACTTCTCAAAATTAAAAATGCACTTAATGAGCATTTAAACTCCCCCAACCAAAGGAAACATTCATTTTCTTCGAGCCCAAACCATTTTTTCCCTTTTTTTTCATTTTGCCAAGAAATCCAATAAAATTTTATGTTTTAGATAGACCCAAAATGAAGGGGTTTTTTTCTTCAATTTGTCCAGTGAAGTGAAAAATCAATTATTCACACAGCTCTACTTTAAAATGACTTGGAACTATCTAATTGTGCATGTAGGCAGTCACTTACTGTGTGATCTTATTACTACTTTCCTAACTCTTGCTCTGTCCCCTCCTAATTGTTGTTATGTTTTGTTCTCGGTCAAACTGTAAACTGTTATGGGCAGAAACTTTGTCTCCCAGTATGTCTGAAATGCAAGTGTACAATTATCCCTACAGCAGTGGTAGAAAAGTGGAACAGGGCCATGCCCACTGCATGTCCATCAGCCATCCCGAACCCGTAGACACCTTCCTTGTCACTACAAGTGACGTTCCCAGCCTTTAGGATTCATGGCCCTCGATTTTCTCTGAAAGTAATAATTCAATGTTCCAGACTAATCATTTAACCTTTTGTGTTAGGTCCATCTACTGCCATGTGAATTGGAAGCCAACTCAAGTAAGGAAATATAACAGAAACCTGTAACATCTCCATAGAAGAGGGAGAGCTAAATGTTTGATCTCAAAACTGGAAAGCAGATGAAAGAAGTGGCAAATGACAGAGAAGGTTGGAAGAGTCTAGTTTCTGCCTGCTCGCCAGTGTTGGCAAAGGAAGAATAGACAGACGAATGAATGGCTCTTGGTGTACATATAATTACCAGATCATTCAAATACATCTTTATCTTCCACTGTCTCTTCCAGCTTTTTTGTTGTTTGGTTTGTTTGTTTTTTTCTTTTTAAAAGAAACATGTGGTACCATTTTCTGGTCTCTGCTCAGACTGGTGCGAGTTTATTTCAGTGGACTTACATCTCGTTTACAGTGCAGTAACAGAGACATCTTTGCATCCAAAGAATTACACTTTAAATAATTGAGGATTCGCTGTAAAAATGTTTTATTCCCCCTCCTGCGTTGTTCTGGGTTTTGATGTCCTATAAAGTTTTACTGCACCCCTCTTCATCCTATAACAAACAACACAGTTGTCACAAATCTACCTTCAAACAGCATGATACACAGTCTAAAAAGCATGATTTTTCTCTATGAACGGGGAGTCATTGGCAGCTGCTAAAACAAATCCCTTTCCATATGTAAAGCCTTTCCCATACATCCTCTGTACACTTAACTCATAGTTCTCTGCCTCTGTGCGTGACCAAAGCTGAGGCAGAATCTCTGCATTAGGCTACTGCGCAATGTTTCAGGGCACTGAATGACCACTGGTTGGGTAGAGCATGAATAATTGCCATGAACTTCCATGGAAGTCCACATACCAGCCTAGAAAACTGAAATTCCTACCTTGTCCTCCACCACTGTATATCTTCTTTGGGATCCTTATTAAGAAGGTAAGCGTTGGCAAAAATACCCCACAAAAGATCGTATAAAGCTCAGACCCAGAGACTAGCAAGACACTAGCCCAAAAGACAATTTAACGTTTTTGGTGCCAGTCATGACATCCACTAGCCCCTGACCCAGGCCAAGGTCCTGCGCACAGCATTTGGGAAGGAATGGCACCTCAGACCAGGGCCGTGAGCAGCAACCCTCAGAGCAGCGTCCCACATCACCGGCAGAAAACTACATGCCATTTTGTATGTAGGGAACATACTATGGAATTAATTGTAGCTACTTAATTAACTGTACTTTGCAGTTCTATATTATTAGCTGCTGAGGGCAACTGGCTGCTTGGCACTGTAGGTAGTGTCGATTACATACACAGCCTGAACTTGCTAATTGAGTAAGAGCAAGTGTACGCAGCTCGGCTGGCTGATGTCCCAGACCCTCCTGCACCCACAGCATAAGTGTCTCAGGTTTTTCTGCTGGACATGGGGTGCAATTATGTAAATTAAAGTAGAATCACCTCTCCAACCTACATATCGGGAACAACTTGTGGACCGTTTGCTCACCCCATGATACCAAATTCAGGCCCTAATTTGAAAGGGCTGTTCTGGGAATGGAAGGAGGCTTTCTTCTCCTCAGCTGAATCTCTAAAGGAATCTTTCTCTGAAGCCCAAGTACCACCCACATTCACCAGCTGACACCCTGCGTCAGACTGTGCTCCTGGTTTTGTAAATTCCATGAAGACCCCAGGAAGAGCTGAAGTGCAACAGTAAACAGATATTGGGTATCTTTTTTTTTTTTTTTTGCAATTCCTTTTGTATGCCAGTGGAATTCAGAAAGATCAGTGGAAATGATACAGACTTGTGTAGTGCTTGACATCGATTTCAGCAACATCTGAGCTCTCTACAAAAGAACTTTGCAGTTTAATTAGAATGGCTTATATCCAGCAACTGTGTTCAGAATAAACAAAAATTAGAGCACAGGGATGATTTTTTTTTTTCCAAATAGTAGATCAAATAGGAAGAGGGGAGAATTTAATTGCACTCATACATTCACAGTTTGATTTAGAAGCACTCTGCCAGGGCAGTCGCTCTGGACTGGAGGCTATGAGGAGGCCCAACAGGCTAAGTCAGCATGCATTCTGTCCAGTGCGTTAGTGGATGCAGGGAGGGACCGATATCTGCCCAGGACCTTCTTTTTGTCATTCCAGCTCTGCAAAAAGTATGGGAAATGATATGTGAAGCCTGATTTTCTTCATATATGATTTCTTATTTTTGAACTCTTCGTCTTGCTGAAAGTAACGTGGACAAAATATAGCAGGTTAGCCTTGATCTGAGCCTTTCCCAGCACCCTACAAAACACAGCTTTGTGCATCAGCACACGAACAACATCAATAAAAGGGGTGCACTTAAGGGCAGGATTTTATGGATCCATCTGCCAAGCATTTCTTTGCAAGAGGAGAACACGTCACAAGTCTAAGCAGATGCCGGGACTCACCAAATCATTTATTGCCAGCAAAACATCAAGCCAATTTGGTGCTCTCTGCAAGTTGTTTCCAGAAGAATTGTGTTGCCCTTGACACATTTTTTGTTCCTACTTTGTGAACAATGGGTAAGGATATTTGAGTTCTCCTAGTGGATGCATCCTATTGTATTCATGCTTCAGCTGTATGACTAGGTGGGACACGGTGAGCTGGGCATTATAGCTTCCCTGTAATTGCCCAAACTGGTTTCTACACTTCAGAGCAAAGTTTGAAATTACTGAGGCACTGACTCTGAGGGAGCTCTTCTGGGAAAGGAGCATGGCAGCAAATGATGTCAAGGGCGCTAAAACACTCTCCCTGTTCCTCCTTGACCAAGTAGGTTCCTAATTTGTAGAATTATCCGAGTTCCTCCCAGGCTGAGGGAGAGGATTCAGAGGACTCTAGATTCATAATCAGTTAAGGAGATGTCACATTCAGCCTTCCTACGTGGAGGTCCTGAGCTTTGAGAATGGCAGAGGGGAAGAGCAGGCATTGTCACTGCATAAAACTGGTCATTGATATGCAGAAAATAGAAGTGCACTCACTGCTCAAGGACATGCGTAAGTAAATGGGACACTACCGCCGTAGCGCATAGCCATGGAATTACAGAATAATTTTGGTTGGAAGGGATGTTTGGAGGTCATCTGGTCCCACCACCTGCTCAATCTGAGCTAGCTTTGAAGTTTTGAATCAGACCTACCATAGCAAAGTGGTTAAATTAGTCCTGAAGGAGAACATGATTTTTAGAGCCCCGGCAACACCTTTTGACTCCCTCAGTCCCCTGGAATAGCCAGAAGCTGCCTGAGTCCCTGACGAAAAATTGGGGAGGGACAAGCAGCACAGGCAGAGGACAAACTGCCAAGTAGCACTCAGGAAGCCTTAGGCTGGGGCAAATATCTTAGGAAAGGACTTTCTCCAGTTTTCCCAGCAAGCAAGGCAATCCAAGCCAGGGCCAGTGTTTCTGTTGCTGATCTGTCCAGAGCATGCCTAACAGGAGTTTGCTACAAGGTGCTAAATTCCCTTCTGCCTCTTCCATGTAGGCTGTGCTTACTGTCACAGATGATGTTGTACAAGAGCACTCTGGGGCCAGAACACATGTGGAAAGCCTCCAGATGACTGTCCTTCCCATTCTTTCGTATTCCCAGTTTTCCTCTCTTTGCCCTTTCCTCATGGCTCTTGCTGAAGTGGAGACACCACAGTACTGCTTAGGAGAGGCAACTGCTCAACCTCCTCTCCCTCAGCCTCCAAATACCTTCCCAGCTGCAAACACAAGGGCAGAGGCGAGCGCTCACCCAGAAGGGCCCACTCCCCGGGAGAGATGCACTATTTGCCCAGACCAAAGCGCCTCCTGCACACCTAGGTGCCAACAAAACCTGACCACCCAAATGTTTGTGCAAAGGGAATAAAAGGAGCAGAAACGTGATCAGATGGAATCGCTAGCCAGCTTTAGCAAACATGGGCTCTAATTAATTTTTTCCTCCCATTGTTTACCCAGCTTTGTATGTAACTGAGAGCTGCACTGGGCTTATCAGTAATTACCAACAGTTCTGGAAACTGTACGCGTCATTGTGCTGCGTTGTGCTGCGTTACTACACAAGGTAGTGATCCATGAAGCAGGGTGTCTCTAATTCATTTCTAAGAAATATTTCAAAAAACCATAAAACCCCTCACATCCGTTACTAGTGTTGCTGTGGCGGGGGAAAGAAAAAAAGGCGGGGGGAAGGGCGGGGGGGGAAGCAGAGAGCGGACTCGCATCTGTTTCAGATCTAATTATGAAAGTTTCCTGGACGGAGGGGCGTGCTACCTTCCCAGCTCTGGCAGCGGATGCTCTCCCTGCAGTCAGGCTCCCGCGCGGGGCTCCGGCAGCTGCTTTCCCAGCCCGCAGATTGCATTTCCCCATTCCATAGTGACACCTGCTGGGAGCAACTGAGCCGATCAAGCGGAGACTCCCCCGCTGCTCCGCTTGGCAAGGGGCTGTGGAGTGCAAAATGAAGGGTCTCCGGCAATCAGGCAGATTGATTCTCCTCCTTTCCTTCCAGATTTAGCCGGTCTCTTATCAGAGGGAAAGCGGATCTCTGTAGCGTGATTAACGCTCAGAAAGGGCTTCGTGCAGCTCCGCAGCCTGCTGCGGAGCAGCGCTGGCGTATCAGCCGGAGGCCTGCGGGAGAAGAGGAGCTAAAGGGATGGGAGGGTCGTTCGGATGCAGAGGGCCAAATTCAGCCCATGTGGCAAGGAGGTGGGAGCAGGGATGAATTTGTCCCCTCTGCAGAAGCTGAAAGGTTGCTCCAGAGAGAGAGTCATGTTACACTTGCTCTTTTCTTATAGTCGTTCTGTAACTATACCTGCCACTGTAGGAAGACAAGATGTGGGGCTAGTATCTTTGGTCTGACCCGCTGTGGCTGTTCCTGTGGAAGCCTGAACTGTGCCTTTTCTGTGTTTTCCATTCTCCTTTCCTCATGAGGACTTCACTGCTCCTATTCAGCATTTAGATCCCATCATGCCTGGCATGTGGGCTGTGATCCTGCAACATGTGCGTGCAATAACCAGGGAAACTGAAAAATCTTGCCCTAAGCCTGCACTTTGCCTTCCGCCTTCCCCCCACACCAAGCTGAAGGGAAAAGACAACCTGGCAGGAAAAGTGCCAAAATGTTTTAGAAATAAATGACAGACACCAAAGTCATCACACATTTTCCGAGGCAGGATAGTAATTTCTGTGATGTATTTTTAACAGTGAGGAGCGATGGGAGGGAAGCCACTTAAATCTAATGCAAACGGAGGATTTGTCAGTTACGCAGTTTGTATAATGTCATACCTAGAAAATGTTATAAAAATTGAGGGATTATGGAGAGGAGAGACATTTCTAAAATTGGAGGCCTCCTTTTAAAGCTTTAACCCCCCACTCCTCTTCCAAAATCACTGGGAATGCTCTTCTTCAAGGAAGGGCAGGAGCCTACCTCAAAAATGTTGACAGATCTTTAAGCTGCATGTTAAGAAACTCTCCTCTCCCTCTCACTGCTACCTCTTCCAGTTTTTGCCAGCTGCTGCATCTCTTCATTTCAGCTCTTCAGTGATCCCAAAACATTTTAATCACAACAGGGCAGTTTCCAAATGCTTCCAGGCTACTTTCTTCCTCTCTTCCAGGCAGCGGCAGCTTCTGTGACCAGCAACCTTATCTAAAATGGAGGCTTCCTGCTGTTTTGTTTTTGGTTCTGGCCCTAGCTTAAAGGTGTTAGCAGTGGGACCATTTGACCAGCTGATGCACAGTGAAGGCAGATACGAACACATCTGGAAATTCTTCGCAGCAGTGGTTTGAGAGGGTTAATTGTGCTGACCTCATTTAAAAAAGCACTTTGAGCTCTATGGATGCATGTAACTGTATAAAAACATTTATTAATATTATTAATGTGTATATTATGTGTTAATATTTATATTATTCTCAGGGCTAATTATTTAAGGAAGAAATTGTTGGAGCACTCATTTATAGCAAAGAGCAGAGCAGAACCCCAGAAGCAGGAGTCTGGTAGGCTGTAAAGAGGTTCTAGCACAACATTTGGGGCTGTCTTGCCCCAGAAACGGCCTTCATTGTTATTAAGGTAACTTAAGACTTGTATTAGGGGTAAATTGTGTTTAGGCATATTAGCCTTAGCTGATACAATCTAAGCTCTGAAAAGAAATACGGAGGACCAGATATGTTTAAATGGATGATATCTGAGCTAAAAGCAAATGCTCCATGAAGGCAAGAGAAAAGCTATGCTATTACTAACAACAATAAAACCCACAGCCGTCTTCTCTTTGTAAGCAGCTCCGGCTGAGCTTCACCACAGCCCTATGCGTGCTTCCAGTTCCCCTTGGAGAGGTGCGATGAAGCCCTCCTGTGGCCGGCAGCACCCATGTTTTCTCCTTGCTGCTCCCTTTGGCCCTCACTCCCCATGCGCCTGCAATGAACACAGAGCTTTTGCTGTCCGCTCATTCCCAGGAAGCCTTGCCGTGCAAATACCCAGCTCTGAACCTTCCCCTCTCCAACACATTGCCAGCTTTCTTCTTCCCCCCTCCTCTGGTCTGCTTTTATGAGTCACTGAGTGAGAATAAATAGTGCTGGGCTGACAGATACAGGCATCAGCTGACAGGATTTCCATCCTGCTTACAATATACAGGCTATGGCTTACATGGGACGACGCGGATATTACCTGTCTCTCCTTTTATGCTAAGCAGTAAACACAAATCTCTATAAATGTGATTGATACATGTTGCAGTTCCTTTTTCACAGAGAAAGCAGTTGGCAGGCATCTCTGTCCCACAAGGTTCAGTTTAGCTAGCCTTTTGCAAAGTCTTACATTGGAAGAATGGGTAGTTCAGAATTTCGCGCAGTAAAAGTGTCTTTTTTCCACTTAAAACTATATCTTTGGCACTCTTCTCCAGCAAAATACGAGTATGTTGAAAAGCTGGCATGGGCCAAACCCTTTTTGTTAAATTGTTCCCTCACAGCTCCATCTTTTTCCACTTCTGAGCTTTTTTAGATACTCTTGTGAACAGACATTTAGGTGATAACCAAATGGGCAGTTCTATCAGAAATCTTCCAGTGAAGTATGAGACTCTGCATGGCTTCTACACGTTATTATATAAAGCTAATTGAAGAGTTGCAACCTACACATACCAAGTTATATTCTAAACCCCACCAGGCTCATATCCTCAAAACCAGGGACCCCCAAATTGTGTATTTTGCAAGTTTAAAAACAAAACAATCATTTCCTACAGGCAAAGGCCGAGCTGCAGCAGTGGGCATATAATATTGACACAGCTGGCCTTCTCTCTGCAGCTGAGGCAGAGAGCGTAATCCAAGCTACAGTTCTCTCTCTTGCCAGCTCTTTTGTTGCCCGCTACAGTATGGTCACTATCAGCTCATAGAGTCCAGTACCTGAGCTAACTTTTTAGAGCTAAATATTTGTCTAAGCTACATCACAATGTGGACACCTCCAGAGAGTCAATGCAGAGTGTATAGCCCACGTGTTAAGCTATGTCCATATCTTCCTGAGTCCGGACCGCTCAGTGGGTCCTGAAGTAGCTCACAGAGTTCTGTGGACTTGTCTTGACAACTAACCCGGGGCTGTTGTGTGTGTGGCAGACGCACACCCGTGCTCTGAGGCACAGAGGCTCTCAGAGGGAAACTTAACACTTCTTTCCATGAAGTCTGCTCTTCGGAGAAGGCTGAAAGTGATGCTCTTTGCATTGGATTATGTGATATACGTGCCAAAGAAACAAGCTATGGTATAACCTTAGCACTAGTCCCAGGAACATACTGGAAAACAGAAGTTGCTATTCAAAGTTCAGGGCAAAGCTTTAAAACCTGAAAAAAAAGGTTTTGACTTAACTGCTGGGAAAAGAAAAAAGAAAAAAGGAATGGAAGAAGGATTACATCCAAAATTTCACTTTCCTAATCAATGCCTGCTGTTCCACTGGTGCTTCTGGGTACAGCACTGTCCCACATTTCCTGAGAGAAGTCAAATGCAATCTGATCACCCCAGCTCTTCAGTTCAATACGTCTATCAGAGTTAACAATGACCTGGCTTTGAGATCAGTCACGTCACTTCAGATGGAAATTTCTCCTATTCTCCATCAATAAAATAATTAAATTCCCTGCAGTGTAAAGCATTTATTGGTTAATTCTTCTTGAGAGTTGCTTGTGCTTGACTTTGTTCAATGTTTTGCAAAATTCAAAATCAGACTTACTCTACTAAGAGTAGGATTCAAATCTGTTTCCCATCTCAGAATTGTTACCTCTCCTGCTACAAAATCGAGACCTGAGCTTAATTTGGGAAGACAAAATTAGTCCTTTTCAAGAAGTGATCATCAAAGATCAATGACCATCAGAGCACTTTACTTGAGGGAAAAAAGAAAGAGGCCAAATTTCAAGATAGCACAGAGAGTCTGTGAGACTAGAGTGCTTGAAGCTAGTAGAATTTTTTAAAGTCATTCACAAACACTATATCTACCCTTGACAGGTCATTTCATTCTATTTAGCACTTTTTATTCTCTGTGGTTTATAAGCTCTTAAGCAAATGTAAGAGGGAGGAAAAGCTAACGCGTCTGATAATACACTATATCAGGCTGACAACCTAACTGAATTTCCCCTGTGGTGCTAGCAAAACGCTGTTCCAAAAAGTAATAATGCACAGGGAAAAAAAAAGGGAGAAGAAAAGGGGGGAAAAGGGATCATAGAGATCATGCCGTCACATTTAATTTCAGAGAACAAAACCTGAAGCTGATTTCTCTTTAGATCAGTTGTATACCAGTTGGAACATGGGTGCCTAGCACTGCGACAGTGTAATATGATCTGAGCTTTAAATAGCTGCCAAATAACCATGTGGTGGCTGGCAGCATTAAACGTGTTGCAATGAGAGTGATCTGTTTCAAAGTAAAGCCACATAAGAGAGGATAAGTCAATCTGATGTGGGATAGAAGTGTAGGGGGGGGAACTTTTTTCATTATCTTTTGTTTTGTTTTGTTTTGTTTTAAATGCGTCCATTTTGTTTAAATGTGTCCACTTAAATCTTAAAGAGGAATTAATTTAAGGCCTTTTTCTAAACCAGTTTAATACTTGAATCATATGCAGGTCATTTCAGAGAACGTCTCCTTGGGGACCCAGAGCACAGGGAAGGGAGGAATGATGTGCCAAATGTGGAGCACTATGGCTGAGACCATCCCCTTCCTACAAGCCAGGTCAAAGTGGCTGCCTCCCAATGTAATGGGCACCTTCTGTATGTACAGGCTCTCCCAGGTTTGTACAAAAGGCATCCTTGACAATTTTTAGGAACAGATAAGCTACAGATAGGCTCCAGAGTTTCACCTACAGCAAATAACCTGGGGTGGCTTTCCTACAGTGCCATTGCTCTGCTCTAGGCACCCCTTATCCTCACAGAGAAATGTGAAGCCTGGTGGCACTCTGTGAGACACATTTGGGCTCTTTCTTACAGATGTAGAGAAAAATCAGACGCAGAATTTGAAGGTGTTTAACACAGGAGATCCTACCAGCCCTCCATTTCTTCCTACCTTCATGTCAAATGGCTCTGCTGATCACTATTGTCAACATGTCTCCCGGGAGGAACAGCAATATTTTGGATTGGCTAGACAGACCAGTTGAAACTGGGAACATGAGTAAGATATAAGAAGGAAAAAGTGGTACTGTAAATACTTGTGATTCTTCATCCCTTCTGACATTTCTGATTACGAAAGACTGACTTCTGTTTTCAATTTCAGGATCGCCACTGTCTACAACAATGTCAATCCAGGTTTACTCTAAGTTAACACAGCAAAATTTCATGTGAACACATTTTATCTAGTCTTCACTGCTTGGAAACCACACTGCCTCAAGTACAAATAGGAACAGGAGAGCCAGAGGAAAACCCAGCTGCTCTATCAGAAGGTAAATAGCTCCTGTAAGAGGTTCATATAACTTCTTAAAGACAATAAATGCAAGGTACTTTGCAGCCAGTTAGGATTTTGCAAGAATGTGGACAGCAGTACAGATATTACTTACTATTCTCCTATTAGCAGTTTACTAGCACACTATAGAGTATAGATTCAGTCACAGCTGCACCCTGCAGAGAAATAGAGCAGGCTTTATTTTGCATTTCCTCAAAGGAGAACATTGCTTTACCTTACTAATGTAAATGTTAATAAGCAACCACATTTTTCATGAAGATCAAACCCAGTGAGAGTGCCAGTAGACGTCCCAATGAGTACCGAGGATTAACTAGGGGCAAATCCTTTTCTGCCTGTTTTTGCCTGCAGCTGCCTTTGCCACGTTGTGTCAGTGTATCCCCCTGGAATCCACAACAGCTGCACAAAGGGGAACGCTCGCCCTCCTTTCTTTCCCCACCACCTATTTTTCTCACTGCCTCCTTCATAGGCAGTCACAGTCCTCACCGTATCTGCAATGGACAAGCTCGTCATTGTGCAGGTGGTGGAACTGGTCAGAAAATGTTTGTTACCTATTCACTCCTTTCACTGTCACTTTTCCAGACATGTTCCTCAAAACAATCTCTTTTCTTCTGATTTGACCACAGGCTTTTGAGCCAACTGGCCAATTAAAAAATAAAACCAAAAACCCTATGTTTCTGGGGAACACAGTTCTATGACTGATTTCACATAATATTTTGATTACAGTATTTAATCCCCTTTACTGTCTTTTACTCAGCTCTAATCATGAAAATACCTGCATCACTACCAAGGCTTTTCTCGACAAAAGCATATGTGGAAGAAAGCCACAGAGCGAGTCTCTTTAGCTGGTCTGTCTTCCTGGAGATCTTACAAAGCCGTTCCTTTGTTTTTAAACGATGTCAGAGGACCAAGAGTCAGACTATGCTTTTAGTCAATAATTATATGGAAATGCTTCCTCACCACCATCAACCCAATATCCTGGTCTGCAACAGCTACATCATTTGCTTGACTATATATGTGCATTGGAGTGTGCAAGCAACCTGTCCACCCTCCTTTCGGAAGGAACCTGACTCTTAGCTCTGCTGTTAGGAGAAGAAGGTGGTGTCCAATTAAAGTAAATTGATAGAGCTACAGAATATTGCCAAAAGTGTGAATCTGAGTGAAAACTTTACGAGTACTTAAGCAATTTCTACTGACGCCAGAAAGGCTTCCTGAAGTTTCTAAGGAAACCCTCAGAAACACCTTGGATCATCAATGGCCATTATGCCTGCCGCCTGACCAAACGGTTCCCTAAGAAAGAGAGTGCATTGCACATAAGAGTGTAGCTAATTTAGCTGCATAATGGAAAGAGCTCTGAAGATGCACATGGGCTGAATTAAGGGCTCCACGGGAGCCTTTGGCTCATTCTTTGCAGAGTTTATTAGTTGCCGCTGCACACATGGTTAGGTTTGCTGGAAGAAGTCCAGATCTGAGGCACCTCTCAACTCCTACAGCTTCTAAAAGTTGCAAGAAAGTGGCTAAGTTCTTACGCAGAAGGACTCTCCCCTGCAGAGAACCAGACAGGGTTCGGGAGGGGTACCTAGTCAAATAACTCTTGATTATTGAACTTACCTCCGCAATTGCCAGTGAGTATCCTAGACCGTAAACGGGGTAAATACCAACAGATTGTATTATTTGAGAAACACTATGCGATTGTGTAATTAAGGGCAGGAATATAATACTATGTGCACAAGGGGCAGGGTTAATTTCAGCATTTCCTGACTAACCAAGCACATTATAGTGTAACCTTAATGTTCTCCGGATGACTATCATTTATATGGAGTTCATATATATGTTTATGAATATTTGGTTAATATTCACCCATCATACTCTCTGACACAGTAATTAAAAACACCATGTTAGCTGCCAATAAAAATATTTTTGTGATTTGGTAATTTTTCCAAACCTCATAGTCCCGACTCCTGTACCCCCTGCCCTTGTGGTCTTCCTGTTCTATAATGTATAAAGCTAATCTTGATGATGGAAAAATAAATAAGTAGCAGGGAATGCTGGAAATTTTCCAATCACAAAAGCTTCCAAAATGGAAGCAACAGCCAATCTAGCCCACCACATCTTCTAGGTGGGCACTCCTTTTCTGCCTTTTAGTGATGCTTTTAATATTCATAACAGCTGTGGAACCAAGCATTATGCACAAGAAGAAACCAACATGCAGTCTTTGTTTTTCTCCATCCATCGCAAACTACTCTGCACTGAGTTAAAAAGTGAAAAACTACACACTTTCAAATGGATTTAATTTCAACTGGGGCACAATGCCAAATGAACAAAGTTTCCCCACTGTTAATATATCACCCCAACTTTTCCATTCCATGCATATAGTCGCATCTTCACCCCATCTTCCATACGTATGCGCACACACACACACACACACACACACACACACACACACACACAACACAAACTAGCCACTTCTACAATACAGAACCCAATCTTTCTTCCCTTACTCTTTTAGTTATTTTCATTATTTTCACTAGGATAACCAGTAGGCAAGCAGGACTTGGTCTATAATGCAGATTTTTAATATTTAGGAAAATGAAGGCTACATAAAACATACATTTTCATGGTGTGGATATTGTTTTCACAATAACCTTTTTTAAATAAAAACAACATTTTACAATTTGTCCCCTTCTATTTAAATCTACACAACCAAGAAAATATGTATGGGAGAAGCCAATTATTCCATCCAAAAATATAAGTGTTAAAACTTGAATAAAATATGAACGCTATAATTCAAAGAACAATTCTGGCATAACTTTAGTTAGGGGCTTAACTATGGCATTTTGGCTTACAGAATCATGCAACAAACAAACATGGATTTCAGATTATAAAAGTATACATCTTTCACATGCGTACAGAAAAGAGAAACATGTAACAGAAGCAGTTATGCTTTTACATGTACAGGCTAGCACCAAATCGCTGTTCGCTGAAATTGTCTTCCCTCTTGCCTTCTTCACATGGATGCCGCATGAACAACTGCATTCTATTTTTAAGTGCAGATATGTTTGCTTGCATTAAAGCTAAGGCAAGTAGTGGAAAACAGGAGAGGAGGTGGATTGAATTACTGTGTTTGGATGTTTCTTTTCCTCTCCATCTTCTACTATTCCCCACAAGCAGAAGTACACAACAAATGCTAAAAAACCAAATGTGTAAAATCTTTATTTGGCCCATTTTATGTTGGGCTTTCGGTTGCAGAACATTTTTTCCTTCTTCTGTTCGCAAAATGATCTAATGCTGCTAACAGTACAATAGGGAGAACTATGTGTGTAGTTTCTAAAGAATACTAAAAGCAATGAGCTGGGGCTGAAGGCTGTTTCTCCCTGTATTGAGCTTTTGTGTCCTTTGCCCTTAAACAAGTAACAGAAGAAATTCCAGAAGTGTGCCTGCATACTTAGGATTGCCATAATGGTAATAAGGTATAAAATTCCAGTTTTAATTACTATGAAGTCTCACTAAGATTTCAGTATTCTCTTTAGCTATGCACAACTAGTCTGAGTGCAAATAAATAGTACGCCCTATCAATAAGAAAAGAATAGGAGCCAGCATGAAAGACCATCCATAGCGTACATGAACAGCAAAGTCCAGGCACTCCATTTTTTTCATATTTGTGTAGTTTTCCAGATCAGCCATTGCCTGGACCCAGATGACGTACATCACGACTACCAGTGAAAACAAGATACCTGAAAAAGAAACACACTAGGTTTTAACAACAGAGAGTGTGAGACAAATGCAGGGTGCATTTACTGGTTACAGTAACACCTAGAAACCTATCAATGTTTGAAGCCCTGTCTGCAAGCAGTCAGTTGCCGCTGCCGCTGGATGCTTTTTACCTTTGGCTTCCCGGTAATAAGCTCTATCTCTGCCTTGTTTCTGATTTGCACTGAAAGGCATAAGCCCATACCCTCTAAGGAGCCCACAGCAAAGGATATATCTGGTTTTGGTGGGCAGACCAAAACACAGCTGTGTTTAGGGCCAAAATTCAGGTAGGGGCAGGGTGGAGGAGGAGGGACCACCTAAAGGAGGAAAAAAAGCCCACCTTTGCTTCCCAAACTCTGGAACTGTTTCTGTCACAGTCTTTTGGATGAGATATGAGATGGGGAAAAGGAATGGGAAATCACTCTATCATCCTCACCTCCCTTCCTTATGCTTCTTTTATTTTAATGAAATAGGCTTTGTTTAGAACATACTACATTCAGATTCTACTCGAATATTTTAAAGACAAATTCAGATGTATTTCATTCAAAATCCTCCACATTCATTATGAAAGAAGACCAGGCATAGCAACAAAACCCATCAATAATGAAATAATAGCTATGAAGCAGGCTTTTAGTATTAACTGCAGATTGGGTACAACCGCTTCCTGGAATTAATCCACCACATAATTCACAATGTTTTCCTAACCACTCCTCTGAAAGGCCTTTAGATTGTTTACGCACGATAGTAACAGGAGCCTATGTCCTTACCAAATCTGTTAATCTCTTTGTCACTATGCACCAGAAGCAAATATAAGGAGAACGCGCCTTCCAAAGTATCAGTTGCATGCCTAATATTTCATTTTACTTCAGAGGAATGCAGACGCTTAAGGAACCCAGGCCGCAGCACAGATGCTCTAGCAAAAGATCCGTTGAAGAACCGGGGACACAAGTCTGAATTTTCTGCATGCTCTACCCTGAACTCACTTGTTCCCTGAGCTCCAGCTGTCATAGTACGGTTACAACAGCAGGGCTAACTATTTAGATATTAAAATATTAGGGAGATACCACCTCATCATGTTTTTATCCCACAATGCTTATTTATCTCATAAAACAACAAGCCAGTGCATACTTCTGGAAACACTGTCAAAGCTGAGTTGACTGGCGGCAGAGCAGTAGAGTACAAGCCAGAGGTTTTTGCTTTCTCTCCCTAGTCCTGCTAAAAACTTACCACGTGACCTTGCAAAAATGTAAAACTTTGGCAAAACTCACAACTGCACTTTATAAGCACCTTCGGTAGATATTTGCCTACAGACCTACCTGTGCCGGCAAATGTGGTTACCTTGCCCCATCCCCACCCTGAGATGCTCCCTCACCTCGTCCCGCGTGCCATTCCTACCAGCTTTCCAGGGAGCAACTCTTGTCTTCACTCCCTCATCAATTTCAGGCAAAATGAAGCAGATGAGCTGCAGCAGTTTAAACTGGTGATCGGCTGACATTCTTGTTGGTCCTTTATTGTCAAAATATAATAGCTTTACACTGTGGGTATCATGAACATCTAACAGGCAAGAGCTCACAACTCCTAATGTTTGTGAACACCACCTTTTAAAGCCTTTTAAAAAAAGCTGAAGTAGTTAACCTGAGGCATAATCAAAACGTACCTGAAAATCTCAAAGGATCTCCAATTTTTATGAGCTTGAAAGGAAGAAGAGTAAGTAAAGAATGAGGCAAGCGCATCACCTGTCTATGAAATACACTTCCAGGATTAAATTTTTTGCAAAATTCATAACATTTTGCTCAAATTCACGACAAAGTTAAAAAAAACCCCAACCCTCAACTCTTAAGTGGCATAAATTCAGTTGTGAAAATGTTTTATCTAAGCAAAACTCAATTTTGATGGAATTTCTTTCTGAGGTTATTTTAAACATACAACTGGTGAAACAATCAGAGAGACGGATCAACCCAGGGCCAGACATAAAAAATGAGAAATTAAATTGAATATTCTCCAAATATAAGTCAAATTGAGCAGAAAAATCCTACAACAGAACATCTAATGATAACAGATAGGGTAGACAACTTTGGAAAAATAGAACCAAACTAAGCTAGTAACTTATCACAGAAAAAAAGTAAAAAGATTCAGGGCCAAATTCATAAATGGAATTACCGGAGCCATGAAATTAGTTCAAGGTTTCAAAACTTCAGCCAAAACTATTTAAGCTCAAGTCACATCAAGATTTGGAAAGATGCACTGATAAGAAGGCAAAATCCATATGCACTTTGGAATTTATCTCTCTTCAGTTGGCTGTGTCTGTATATTTTCAGATGTTCCGTGGTCTTATATTTATTCTCTACAAAGAAGGGCAAACTTAATCTAAAATAATACTAAATTTAAAAAGTAGTGATGTACATTTCTTTACTGTTGTTACAGATAAGCATAACCAGGCCTTGCATATCTGGAATGCTTTTAACCTCTGGCACCCTGGGCAGACACAAGCTAAGTCACCTGGTTAGTAGGAAGCTTCTGTCATTAAAATAACACTCTTTGAGGGGGGCTTTAAACTCAAAATGGCCACCCCTGGCTCCTCAAGTACTCTGGAGCAACACTTTCTAGGTAGTTAAACTAGAGCCAACTCCATGTACGTGCAAAATAGCAAGCCAGTGCTGTGAGTGGTAGAACAACTTCAGCTAAGCTAGGGTCCATCAGGTGATTTCACAGCAAGCTGCTAATACCTGTGTGTGGTAAATTGTTTGGTATGGAAATTTGCTGAAAAAATGTATGTCAAGCAGAGATAAATGTCCTTCTTTAAGAGAAAAGAAAAAGAAAGGGAGAATTTGCAAACCATCGTAGTTAATTAAGGCACTAGAAAAGTATTCAAGGATTCTCACAGCTCCAATCTGGTAATGGAGGCTAATTAGTTACTATATTGTTTAGTGTGTTCAAGGAATGTCTTGAAACAGTAGAATCAGGCTAAGTAAAAACTGGCCAAGTCCCACGGCCTTCAACAAGATTTCAATGGTTAGTGTTTTGTAACTCATAATTAAGTGTCTAACTTCCAAAGGGTTATGATTTCATAGAAGTTAAGCACCTACAGAGGAGCTTACTGACGCTGCTGCATGTCACAAACGGTAACATATAGGAAAAGTAAAGCATTAGCACTTCTTAACAGATAGACTCTCTGCTTTGTCCATTCGGTACGGTTTCCTAAGATGTCAGAATACATTAGAAGCAGTGGTGGGAGTAGAGAAGCAGACTATGTACTTGCATTATCACTAAGGCATCTGTTTAAAATGTTTGATGTTTAGAGCTAGAGGCTCTGGTTCCTTCCTCTTCATTAAGCACTTCAGGTTGTGCTTAAATTTAAGCACATGTGTAAGTCTCTTTCACTTGAGGGATTTTTCCTTCTGGCAGCCACACTGATTGCATCAAATATTTGATTCAAAGGCAAGTTGTGAGCTTAATGAATGGTTACTAGAGCTTGAACATTTATCTGGTTGTTAGATTCTAAAAGAAGAATGTTTTGTTTTCAGATGAGATAATTTCATGTTTGTTTGCAATGCCTCGTTTTAGCAAAACAGAAGGATGTTTAGGGTTCAAGAAAGACTTGAGAGAAAACCAGTAACAAGAATAGAGTACAATTTGTCCAGAGGACTGAGTAGCATACAAGATTCAGCTACATATAACATGTGAAATATTTTTTGTAGACCATAAGGCAGCAGTTGGGATTATACATTATGAATTGTAATAATCATGCCAAGTAACACTTAGCACTTTATATGGTGTTTAGAAAAAACATAGATCAAAAGCTGGATTTATCTCCATTTTGTAGGAAGAAAAATGAGGCACTGAAAAAACTAATCTGATATTCAGAGGTTCTGAGCATCCAACCTTTGCTTTTTTGACTCTTGTTTTCAAAGGAGCTTTGCTCCTCAGACCCTAGGCAGATTTGCTTAAGTCACGTAACACATTAGTAGCAGAGTTGCTAAAAAACAGAAGTCTTCTGCCTCTCCACCCTGTTGCCTTGTGCATACAGCTACACTGTTTCTGCCACATTCAACTTTTGGTTTTTGTACGACTTGGTGAAGTACACTGGAATGTACATAAATAAAAGGAAGACTGAAGACAATGCAAAGTCTTACTAAGCAACTGTCTATCTTTGGCTGCTTAGGTGCTTCAAACTACCTCCTATCACTGCAAAATCTGACTGTTTCAATTTATATGTAGGGAATACAATATTTTTGAAGGAAAATCACGTATTTCAGAATGTTCAAAATTAGTTTGTTTCTTCATATTTCCTCAGTCATAAGCTTTGGACTTGATTCTGAAGATGGAACTCAGAATCAATGGCAAAGCCCATGTGAAACTGAAGCGAGATCAGAATCAGACCTTTTACTGCTGAAGAATGTTTTGTTAGATAAAATTTATGCTGCTTGTGGAAGATGGCAGGGAGAAGTCTTCTAATTCTGTAGCATTACTGCTATTCTGTCTTATTTCTCTACCCACAAATTTTCCTAATCAGCTTGTCTCTTTCCTACAAAATATTAGTCATGCCAATAAGAACTGAGAAAGCATCCATTACAAGTGTAATAGGAATACTTGTTCATTATGAAGGAGAATATACCAACATGTATATGTATTTATTTTGGAAAATTGTTCCTGTACTCTTAAACTATCTATTGTGAATGTCATAAACTCTTCCAGCCAAGCTCCCAGGCAAAATTACTGAGATTGAAAAAATCTCCGAAACTTTAAGAAGCAGATATTTTTAGGAACAGTTTGTACTATGACGTATTTCTACATTTTCAGAATGTAGACCTTTTGCATAGCGTGCGGGTGTTCATTTGCCCTTGCCTTTTAGCGAATATAAAATAAAACAGCAGTTGCATGAATCTGGAACGATGGGGGAAATTATTCCTAGAACATGAAATATGTCTGAGAGAGATTAAGACAAATAAATACTTTCCTCCTCCTCTTTTTCTTGTTCTTTTTT